TTCTTTCTAGATGAGAGAAATTTCTCTTTTGGAATCAGCAGGGCAGAGGAAGGTATTCAAATGGAATTCTGAACAGAATTCCTGCAGACCCTGCAGCTGGTCTGAGTCATTGGTAGCATGTCAACAGTAGAACTTTGTGCCGATTGCTCACAATAGAAACAGTGGTGACTGTTTACAGGGCTGAAGTCATGATTGCTGATCACCTGCAAACTGTCTACGTGGGCTATTGTAGGAACAAAGTGGCAAAGTAGTCCCACAGCAAGATCATCAGCCACCAGGAACACCCAGCTGCAAAAGCTAATCCACTTTAAGGTGAAAGGGGAAAAGCGGTTTGACAGAAGCTTGAAAAAATAGTTTACATCTGCTTTAAATGTCACAGTATTCTTTTTTTGTACTGCCAGTGTTATGCTTACATCTTACTGTTGGACTTAATAATATTAAAGATATCTCCTTGTAACTGAAATTGTAATTTTTCTGTAACATTAAAATAGGAGAGGCAGTGATTTAAAATAGAATTCTGTTTTAATTTAAAAGCTAGGGTAGTGTTAAAAGATGATTGCCCCCCACCTTCTCCCTATACACAGGGAGGTGAACAGTTGGGTGAGCTTAAAGTACTGAGACCGAACTCCAGGAGCTACATCTTGGTGATTATTAGCTGCCAGACAGAACTGAGAAGTCCAAGCCCAGGCTTTTAGAATAATGTGATTTCCACAGCCTACTCCTCCCACCCACAGGGAGATGAACTGCTGGACGGTATCTGAGAGCACTGAGACCAGCAGGCAGAGTACATTGGTCCCTCAGTTCTCCTATTGCCAGTGTAGAACTCAGTGCTCTGTTTGCTCTCCCAACTCTCCAACACATTTGAGGGGCACCGCCAGCTTGGATGCTGAGGACACACAAACTGGGGAGTTTGTGGAACAAGCAAAAACTGCCAGACCTACAAACTATAAAGTTCCATTCAGCAAGCAGCAGCTTTCAATATGCAAAGACACGGAGCAACCAGAAGCAAAGAACTGATCTCCTACAAGATACTAGTTAGTTTTCCTTGATACAAGCAGTGCTGGGGATCAGGCCTGATGCTCCAAGCGCATGGATGAAGGCTTGACAACTTAGCAATAACCACCCTGTCCACATGCAGTGTTGACAAACAGCACCTCAACTCACTATACTGTCCTGCCTGAAAACTGAGAACACAAGTGAAAGACGTGGGTAATTAAAACTTGGCCTTAGATGCACAAATCCCAATACAGAAACATGAGAAGTAAGAAAAAACAAGGCAATATGACTCATGCAAAACTCTATAACTCCACAGTAATAAACTATAACTATAGTGACGTAGATGAAATCTCAAAGAATTTTAAAAAACGATCAGTGAAATCAAACTGGACATGAAAACACCTGAATGAATTCCAACAGAACTCAAAGAACTAAACAAAAAAAAAGGACACAATGCAGGACATGAAAAGGAATCCATTAGGGACACAAAAATACTGAAAAAAAAAGAAAGTATGTTCTGGAAATGAAAACCTCAGCAAGTAAAAATACTCACTTGAAAGCCTACCCAGTAGACCATATCAAATTGAACATAGAATATCAGGACTTGAAGACAAAGCTGATGTATTAGAAGATTCAGATGAAGATTTTAAAGAAGAAGTATGAATAGCACATTCCAACCATTAAACATGAAACCTAGGAATCATAGGCACAGAAAAAGAAACATGAAAACATTCAATAAAATAATAGCAGAAAACTTGAAAAATCATGAAAAAGAGATGGTCATCCAGGTATAAAAAAGGCTTTTAAGACTCTAAACAGACAAGACCAGAAAACAGCAACTCCAAAGCATGTTGTAGTTAAAACACTAGGCACACAGAACAAGGAAAGAAATTGAAAGCTGCAAGAGAACTGCCAAGTCACCTATAAAGGCAAAGCCATCAGAATAACAGATTTCTCAACAGACTTTAAAAAGCAAAGACATATTTCAAGTCCTGACAGAAAGTAACTGCCGACAAATACAAATGTACCCAACAAAGCTATCTGTCCTAATCAAAGGTGAACTAAACACCTTCTAATATAAACAAAAAGAAAGGAATTCATGACCACTAAACTGGTGCTGCAGAAGATACCAAAAGGAATCCTACAAAAGAGAAATATAAATGCAACCATACAATATGGTAAAGAATAAATCTCACTAGAAGAGTAGATAAGCAAATAAATGCTAGAATCAAACATGATAAAAACAAAGCAATGGCAGGAATTACTACATACTTTTGAATAGTAACTCTGAATGTTATTGGCCTCAATTTGCCAATTAAAAGACACAGGCTGCCAGACTGGATTAAAAAATAAGACCTGAACATAAAAACATATATCACAGAAAAATCAGTCCTAAAATTAATATGGAAACAAAAGACTGCAAATAGCCAAAGCAATCTTGAGAAAAAAAAGAAAAGAACAATGCTGGAGGTATCACAATACCTTCAAATTATAAAAAGCTATAGTATGAAAAATAGTATCATATTAGCACAAAAACAGACATGTAGACAAATGAAATAGAAGATCCAGAAACAAGCCCACACAGCTGTAACCATTTGATTTTTGACAAAGACACCATAAACATACACTGGAGAAAACACAGCCTCTGCAACAAATGGTGTTACAGTCTTGTAGAATACTGTAACACTGTACAAAAATTAATTCCAAATGGATCAAAAATCTTTTTTTTTCTTTTATTATTCATATGTGCATACAAGGCTTGGGTCATTTCTCCCCCCTGCCCCCACCCCCTCCCTTACAACCCACCCTGCCCCCTCCCTCTCCCCCCTACCCCCTCAATACCCAGCAGAAACTATTTTGCCCTTATTTCTAATTTTGTTGAGAGAGAGTATAAGCAATAATAGCGAAGGAACAGGGTTTTTGCTGGGTTTGAGATAAGGATAGCATACAGGGAGTTGACTCACAGTTAATTTCCTATGGCGTGTATGTTGACCTTTCTAGGTTAATTCTTTTGATTCTAACCTTTTCTCTAGTTCCTGGTTCCTCTTCTCCTGTTGGCCTTAGTTGCTTTTAAGGTATCTGCTTTAGTTTCTCTGCGTTAAGGGCAACAATGCTAGCTAATTTTTTAGGTGTCTCCATCAAAAATCTTAATGTAAGACCCAAAACTTTGAAACTACTACAGCAAAACCCAGGGAAAACACTTGAAGATATAGGCTTGTTAACAACTATATAAAACTCCAGTTGCTCAGAAAATAAGAGCAAGAATTGAAAAATGGGTATAACCAAAATTAAAAGCTTCTGCACATCAAAGGAAACAATGATCATAATCAAGAGACAATGTACATAATGGGAAAAAATCTTTGCCAACTGTTCACTTTACAATGGGTTATTATTATCCATAATATATAAAGGGCTCCACAAAGTTAAAACCCAAAGAACAAGTGATTCAATTAATAAATGGGCAAATTAATTGAACAGACAGTTCCAAAGGAAGTTATACAAATGGACAATAAGTACAGGAAGAAATGTTCAACCTTAGCTGTAATGTAATATTTACCCTTAGCTGTAAAGTAAATGCAAATTAAAACAGCATTGAGATTATTATGTCATTTGCAGAAAAATGGACTGAACAGGAGATAATCATGTTAAGTGAAACAGGCCAGACTGAGAAAGACAAATATTGTATTCTCTCTCAGATGATGAATCTAGACCTAAAAAAGATGAATGACACAGGTATAAAGCAGGAACTGTTTGGGAGGTGAGATTTAGAGACAGAAGTTGAAAGGAGAGGGTGAAGGGATGGTGAGTATGACTGAAGTACTTTACACGCATGTATAATGAATCCTATTAAAACTTTTCAAAGCAGATAAAAGATGAGAAAGAGTAATAGAGGAGGTGATTTTGTCCAAGTACATTATGCATGTATGGACATATCACAATTAATGTATGCTAATAACAAAAGAAGATGAATTATTAAGTTCCTCTAATCTTCAAAGAATACACTTCATTGCATTATACTCTCAACTAATATTGTCAAGTTTGTGAACCATTTTTGAATGCCCGTATTTTATGTTATTGAATATTTCTAGAGTTCTAATTGAAGGAAAAGCAGAATGTTCTTAGAAAGTAGCCTAATTATCTAATTAATTTTTCTAAAGAATCTATTGTAGTTAGTAGCAAAGGGAAAATAAAATTGATACAGGTAGCAGTTCTCTTGTTGTTTTCTTATAGACATATGAATTCTACTCCATTGATTATATCCATCTCTTCAGAACAAGGAGAGACCTTACCAAAATACTGTTTTGAACAGAACAATCATTGTGGTTATAGCTGTATACTTTTATTGATATATGGACAACATCCCACAAACATCAGCTAATACAAGTAAAGATGAATTAAATGAAAAATAAAACTGTTAAGAACTGCTGTTCCTTCAAGCTATATAACAAGTCCTAGTCTAGGAGAAAAATCATTACCATTGTTAATATTGTGCCAAAATATTTCTATAGCCTAGTGGAACTAATCATTGAAAGTACTTCCTATTTTCTTATAATACCACAGACATATAAAAATCTCATCACCAATCCTATCACTTGTGAATAATTTTATAACGATTTTAAAAGCCCTGAATAATTATAATATAGCAATGAAAGCTTGTTCAGGCAAGAGTATAAAATGACAATATATATTAAAAATATTTGGTGGTAATACTGTCCACCACTTCACTGGGTATTCATTAGAATGAAAATCATCACTATCCTTTCTTATGTTTTCTTTTACACATGCATAGAAACCCTATTGAAACACACACACACACAACCTGCAGAGCTAAACCATCGTAGTGATGACCAGTGAAATAAACTTTCCATTTATTTTGTAAAAACATTAATTCTAAAAGTTTTTTCACATGCAATCAAATAGGCTTACTAGAATCAACCTAAAAGTTTGCTAGTGAAAAGTGAAGCCCTGGGCCCTTGATGCTTGTGATAATAGCTGATACTGACCTTATATGCCTGCATGAGCATGTGGATGACACCCGGGGCACCATGGCACCAGTGGACTAATCGATCAGTTTCATTGCTTAATGAAGATGGATAATTCCCAGATCGGAATTTTTTGTGACGCACATAATCAATACTGGGTTTTACCATTTCTGTCAAGGTTTCTTGGTCCACTTTTGCTGCTGGCTTAAAAGAAACAAATGTAAAACATTTAACTGAATTTTGTAAACCATTATATCATGGATAGCCTAATAAAGCATCAATTATTGGAATACTGAGGAAGATACAAAATTACAACTCAATTACCTGTTTTTTAAGTCTTTAGGCACACCTCTTTTGTTTCAACTCTTTTTGTTATTGTTGCTTTTGTGCTATTGGGGAAATGAATGTGAACCCAGGGTTTTGCTTGTGCTAGGCAGGTGATCTAGACTGAGGTACCTATATCGCCAGACCAGTTTCAACTCTTTGAAATGTTATCAATGTTATAATGTATTGAATGTATTTTACCTTTTCTTTGATGAATCAGGACCATCAACTTAATATAAAAGTCATCCTATACTGAGACTTGATTGAACCTCAAGTGAACCCAGAACTACTAAAGATTTTGTTTTGTTATTTTGCTTTGTCTAAATAAATACTAATACTTGATTTCCTCTGATGTGGCTCTTGCCTCCTAAAAACACCAAATATACCACTTCTCCCAAATCTATTAACGTTTCGTTACTTCAGGCAAATTATTTAGTCTCAGTTTCTTCACAGGATGATCACGGTTATGAGGAATAAATGAGGAAAAATGCATGCTTTATTTCTTTGTCCAATAATTTGCAGAATAATGTTGCTTAGTGAAAGTACTCATTACATGTTACCTATTAGAATTTATTATCAAATTTATATTAAAATTTTATTATAGGGACTAGGACTAGAAACACGCTTGGAAATATTTACTAATTTTGAGGCATTATTTTTTAAAAGGACTTAAAAACATTCAAAGGGTCTCAAGATACTATACTGCTTCTCATGCAAAATTTGGTGGCAACAGTCAAATGGCAAGAAGAAGCTAAATAAATGTCTGCAGTATTGGTAAGGTCTGGGTAGAAATCAGTCTCTGGTCATTGACTTGATTTTCATTTGCCTTTTTTTTTTTGAGGTACTGGAGTTTGAACTCCAGGTCTCACATTTGCTAGGCAGGTGAGCCACTTGAGCCACTCATTCAGCCCTGTTTTGTATTGGGTATTTTCAAGATAGTGGTGATAAAACTATGCGCCTGAGCTGGCTTTGAACTGTGATCCTCCTGATCTCTGCCTCCTAAGTAGCTAGGATTACAGGTGTGAGCCACTAGTGCCCAGCTTTTCATTTGGTTCTTATGGCAAATGTCCAGAGTATAAATTATAACTGTGAAATAAACTGTTTCTTCAAAGTTCTTACTACCTTATAAAGGCAAAAAAATTATATACATGATACTTTCTTGTGTAAAATAAAATGATCTCATTTCTTGAATGAAATGTTAATTTTACTAAGCACAAAGAAAAGAAATAAGGAATTCAAATGCTTTAAATTTCACTGAAGGAAAACTAAAATATTTACATGTTGGAATTTTTTTTTTTTTTTGCCACACTGGAGTTTGAACTCAGAGCCTTCACCCAGAGCTACTCCACCAGACCTTTTTTGTGAAGGTTTCCTTTTGGGATATGGTCTCACAAAGTATTTGCCAGGATGGCTTGAACCGTGATCCTCCTGATCTCTACCTCCTGAGAAGCTAGGATTATAGGCATGACCCAGGGGCACCTGGCCCACATTAGAAAATCTTTACATGCCTTCTTGACACACACTTAGGGCATTTATTAGATTTTTTCAAACTATAATTCATGAATTATATTTCCAAGACTAAATGTTAATTTAAAAATTACTTTTATAAAGATAATGTATTACTTTTATAAAGACAGTAATTTTTTAAGAATATTTATTACAAAGAATAGTAGCTAGTGTTCCTTTCTGGGAAACTGGAAAGGTTTTTTTTGTTGTTGTTTTTAGCAATTTCCTCATATTTCTTCAATATGTCAAAACAAAACAAGCATGAGTCTGTCCTTACTGATTTTAGTCTTCACCTGTGGGCTTCCCTGTGTCAGGGAGATGAGGTTGCTTTGCCTCTTAAAATCACCCAAGAGATTAATTCTCCTCACCATTTTTTGTTATATCCATATTCCCCATATTCTTTACAGATTATGTGTAAATATTGCTTGCTGCTAAGATGAGGAACATTCTGAATTACATATATTCTTTCACGACTTTCAGTTTTTCCTGACGTTAGTAACTTTTTTATGTTTCTATTTTCTTAGCTTTCTTTGAATCACATTTTTATACCCACCAACAGCTCTGTAAAGTCTCTTAGTGTAATTTCCACACAGCCGAATCTACTGTGATTTTTTTTTTTTCTCACCAAGATCTCTTTCTCTTCTCCTTAATTTGTTGTTTTCTAGAATTGGGTACAACTGCTGTCCTGGGAGTGTAATTTCCACACAGCCGAATCTACTGTGATTTTTTTTTTTTCTCACCAAGATCTCTTTCTCTTCTCCTTAATTTGTTGTTTTCTAGAACTTGGGTACAACTGCTGTCCTGGGACTTCCACCTGCTAAGTTCCTAGAGCTTCCTTCCTGAAACCCCTTTTCCTGGATCCACGTCTACTTCTTTTCTGAACTTGTTTCTTTGGGTAAATACCATATTCCAGGAGCTTCCTGAGATAGGGTGCAGGGGGATTAAATTTTTGAGACTGTCTAAAATTGTCTTTGTTGTAGTTGACATCACTTTTTCTTTTTCCTTTGGGCAGTACTGGGGATTGAAATCAGGGCCTTGCACTTGCTCTCTATGCACCCTACCATTTGAGCCACACCCCCAGTTCTTTTGCTTTTTTAGTGTTTTCAGATCTGCTCAGGCTGGCCTCAGATCACAATTCTCCAAATGCTGCCTCTGTGGCAGCAGGAATTACAGACGTATACTACCATGCCCACCTTGATTCTGAGAAAGAGTCTCACACTAACTTTGCCCAGGCTGGCCTCAGACAATCATCCTCCTGTCTCTAACTCCAAGTAGCTGGAATCACAGGTGTACACAACCATGCCAGAGCCCCTCTGTTCCACATTTAATTGATAATTTTCTTGGTAGAACTCAATAATGGAAATCAATTTTACTCAGAATGTGGAGGGCATTCCCATTTGTCTTTTAAACTTCAAATGAAATCAATAATGGAAATCAATTTTACTCAGAATGTGGAGGGCATTCCCATTTGTCTTTTAACTTCAATGAAATGGCTACAAAGTCCAATGCCATTTTGATGACCAACTTTATCTCTCTTCTAAGATCTTTAATTTCCAAATGTTTTTACAATTTTTTTAAAAATAAGGCTGTTATATTTTCATTTTTAAGAGCTTTTTATTATTCCTCAAATATTTCTTATTCCTTGGATGCAAGAGCTTCTCCTATTTACCTAAGTACTCTGACTATTAAGTTTCTTTAAGTTTTCTTTTTCTTCCTAGATAATCTGTTTTCTCTTGAGAGTCTCTTTCTCATTTGTTTAATGCTCCAGTCTTTCAAGGTGGAGCCTCTCCTGATATGTCTGATAATTCTTTGGCTGTTAGTCTATATTTTTTGATATACTCTGTGCATCCAGAATATACCTGGAGCATACTAGACTAGCCAAGTGACTGGACAATGTTGTTACCCGGGGCTCTACAGAGCAACAGTCGATATGTTTTGTGTGCATACGGAGATTTATTTGAGAAATCTGCCCGTGCACTGAAGAGACCTGATGAGTCCAAAACCTGATGGGCAGCTTGAGGCTGAAGACTCAGGCAAGAGAAATAATTCAAGGTCACAGGCAGTCTGTGGTAGAACAAAGAAGAGCTGCTGTCAAAGATGAAGTCCGAAGGCAGTCTGCTGAAGAATATTCTCTTGCTCAAGAGAGACAAGTCAGCCTTTTGTTCTGTTTTGACTTTCAATTGATTGCATGAGGCCCACCCACATTATGGAGGGCAATCTGATTTACTCAAAGTCTACCCATTAAATGTAGATCTCATACAAAAATAACCTCACAGAAACATCCAGAATGTATGACCAAATATCTGGACCCCAGGCAAGCAGATAAATAAACATTAATCATCACAGATGGTTAGCTAACTTTTTTTCCCCCATTTTCATTAGCATATATTGGTTGAACAAAGGAGTTTCACTGTGAAATTTCTATATATCCATACAATGTACTCTGATCAAATTCATTCCCTCTCACTTCCTCTCACCCCAACTTCTTAAACAATTTCAATGTTCTATTTTCTTACATGTATATAAAGTACTTCGATCCTGTTCACCTCCCTACATATTTTCCTTTTGCTTTCCCTATTCCTGCTGGTATCCATTCCCAAACAGAACCTGTTTTATACTCCTGTCCTTCATTTTTAAGGACTAGATTCCACAAATGAGAAAGAACATGTGATGTCTGGCTTATCTCACTTAACATGATGATCTCTCATTCCATCTGTTTTCCTGAAAATGACACAATTTCATTCTTCTTTATGGCTAAATAATACTCTATTGTGTATATATAGCACATATTCTTTGTCTGTCCATCAGTTGATAGACATATAGACTGATTCCATAGCTTGGCTATGTAAACAGTACTGCTGTAAACATGAGTGTGCAGGTATCTGACTGTATGCTGATTTCCATTCCTTTAAATATATGCCCAGTAGAGGTACAGCAGGATCATATGGTAGCTCCATCTTTAGAACTACCTCCATACTGATGTCCATGCTGGCTCTACTAATTTGCATTCCCACAACAGTAGTCCCTTTTCCTCACATCCTCACCAGCATTTGTTTTGCTTCCTTGACGATACCCATTCTGATGGGTGAGACAGAATCTCAATGATGTTTTGATTTGAATTTCCTTTATGGCTAAGAGTGTTGGACATTTCCTCATGCATTTGTTAGCCATTTTTAGATCGTTTTTTGAAAACTGTCCATTCAATTCATTTGCCCAATTATTAATTGTACTATATTACTTTTTTGGTATTTAATTTTTAGAGGCTATGTAACTTTTTTTAATGGGGACTTTCAAATGCCTGTTGCCTATAACTCTTTTACCTGAGTTAGTTGCTTCTCCAAAAAGGAAACATCAGTCCCTCACCTGGGGTGGAGGTGGTGTTGCTCACTGGAGTGAGAGAGAGGTGGGGGGGGGGCCTGAGGCTATGGCAGAAGGGTGATCACACCATCAACTTATATGACATCCATTCAAGCCACCTGTACTCTCCTCTAAGCCTGGTTTTCTGCAATCAAAAAGAGCTGGTTCATTGCTTCCAGACCTAATTCCTTTTGTCTTGAGCAAGAGTTAAGGGGAGGAATTGTCTAATAGGGATCCAATGTCTCCTTACAGATGTTTGAAGCCTCTCTGTTGCCCCATCTCACCCCCACCCCCACCACCACAGACACATCTGCTGCTGCTTCTATAGGACATGGCACTTAAATTCCTCAGTTTTAAGGGTTCTTCAGGACAAATTGGCTAGCTTCCTTATTGGCAGCCTCCTCTTAGGGCACTTAAATATGGTCTTCTTCTATCCTGGTAAGTCATTTGTCATTCTTTCACCTACCTTCAGTTTACATATTCATAGTATGGGATCTGTATGTCTCATAAGTTCATCAAAAAAATTGAGGTTTCTGTTTTTGTTCTTCCTGGTATTTTGAAAGGATTTTTAAGCAAATTGTCTTTTTCTGCCATTGCAAAAATGGAGTTCTGTTTAAGTGACATTTAAAGTTTTTGAGTATACTTATGAGTTTTACAGCATGCAGTGGACACTCAAACTCCATGACTACACTGTAACACAAGACATGAGTTGGTGGGTGGAAAGGGATGTGTATTCAGGTCTCAAGCCAGCTCCATCATACTGCTTAAAATCTCTGAAAAACCTGACACAAATTTCTAAATAGAATATTTAATAAATAGCATTCCCATGTTCTTCACTTTAAAAGCAAATGAGTGAAAAATTTTGTGATTTTTATTTCTTTCAAAGAAACTTTTTTTGTTTTTTTTCAAAGAAACAAAATCAATCTAAATACCTGAATCTAAACCACACTGGTATGGTTCTCTTATTATTATGTTTCCCCAAAGGAATTATCATCTATAAAACAATAGCATAGGGTCCCAAGTCACTCTTATGACATTTTTCTGGGAAAAACGAGTTTGTACTGGGATGGCTAATTTATGTGCCAACTTGACTGATACATGATGTGGCTAAATACATTATTTCTGAGTGTGTTTGTGAGGGTGTTTTTATATGGGATTTGCATTTGAATTGTTCATTTCAGTAAAGGAGATGGCTCTCCCAGATGTGGTGGGCATGATCCAATCCACTGTGAGTATGAATAGGAAAAAGGAGGAAGAAAGAGGAGTTACAACTTTCTGCCAGCCTGTTTAAAGAAGACAGCAGTCTCTTCCTATCCTGAGATTGGTATTTATGCCACCACCTCCCCTGCTGGTTCTTGACATGGACTGGAATTACATTTCAGGCTTTCCTAGATCTCAAACTTACAAATGGCTGACGGGACTTCTCATTCACCATAATTGCATAAAGCCAATTCCTATAATAAATGTCTATGTGTCTTGTGTGTGTGCCTGTGTGCATCATACCCTAACTAATACATCTATGAAAACTACTAACTGTTTAGAATAACAGTGTCATTTTATAATGAGATGGAATTCTGGTTATTTTGGACATGCATGCCTGCCTGTACTGTTAAGAAAATTCACAACTGGAATATATGTATGTTTCACTTTCTACAATTATAAACAAAGACAACTAATTAGCAGAAAAGGAAATTTTACTCCGATTTAGTTATGAATTTCCTGTTTTCCTTTAGCAAGTAGCAGCATGATACAGTAAGCTAAAAAAAGGAATCTGAAGTAAATTTTTTTTAAAAAGTGCATATGAGTGTTTTCGTTATATATTAAAATTATAATCCATGCTACTTGACATACAAGCTTTGTGATCCTATAGAATTAAGAAAAGCCTAACTTAAAAAAAAAAAAGCTGTGTTCCTAACACAGAAAACAGCCTTAGACCAAAAGACTAAAAGCATAGGTGGAAGCTACATTTGGTTTCTGACTGCCTTACACAAGTGTCATCAACTAACTTAGTAACAGGAATGATTGAAGGACAAGACATAACTGTGGCAATAAACTCATTACAAATTTTGAACACTGCTGACAAGTTGGAGACATCTGCATATGACAAATGCTCTGCCTCAGTCAGGATTCAAGAGACCTTCTTTGCTCCTAGAAGGTTTTTCCCCATTAAAAGTCTCTACTTAAATCAGCAGGAGGAAAAGGACAGAAGACAAGTGTGGGTGACAAAAAAACTAATCTGGCACGAAACCAAGTGCCAGATTACAATTCCAATGTACACTTAGGAATTCACTGCTTATGGTCCATGAAACAGAATTTAAACATTTGTGATTTAAAGCAGGGGACTTATTGCAATTCAGCTTGTTAATTTGTACTAAGAATTTCATTTCACATTTGTATCTTATCTAATATATTGTAATGTGGTCATCACAGTATTTCAGTATTGTTACTTACCTGCATTAACATATAGTAGATCCCAGCCATGCCATGGGCTGCACCAACATATTGCTTCCTATGCCACTGATACAGTAGGGGACAGCGCTCATTTTTTCTTTCTTCCCTTGACAAGGTCTTACCTGATTCAATAATAGCAGTGACTACCTACAGAGATAATGACACACCATAAACTTAAAAAAAATTACCTGTATCATATTGTGGTCTAATTAGCAGTAATACATGCATGTGTATGTGGAAAGACAGAGAAGCTAATACAGCTGTTTTTATTTCATAAATTAATAAATGTATGCAAAGAGGAATAAGAAGACAATATCCAAGTAAAAAGATAGTAAGAAGCCTTTGAATGAAAAGTTTACTAAAATCTAGAAAGATTCTTAGTAAAAACTGTTCCAGACTTCTTAGTTCCTTCATAGCTGAAATGTTTCCCCCCAAAGATTGGCAAGTGTGTCTCCAAGACAGGCTGGAAGAAGTGGCTTCATTGACAAGAAGCTAATGGCATAGAGTACTTGTGGCACAAGGGTTTTAGTTAAATCAAAAGTATTTTATGTCTGGAATGAGTATGTGGCAAAGACTCTTACTGTCTCTCATGTCTATGGTCCTCTCATCCTTTTGGTAAAGTACTCTTAAGGTTTAGCTGGGCATCTAGCCACTCAGATAGCAATAGCTAAACACAGTCCTTTGATTAAGTTATGGCAACTGGACGTAAGCAGAAGTGATGCAAGCAACTTCTAACTGGCATCCTGATAAAGGAAGCTGTTTCTTCTTCACTTCCTCTTTCCCTTTTCATGCATATACAGGTACACCTCTAGGATGGCAGAATAAGACAGAAGATGGGTACCCAGGCATATTTGCCTTAAACATATCATGAAAGAGAAAGAAACGTTCTAGCTTTTTGAAAGTGCTATTTGGTTCCAGTAAAAACAGCTGAATCAATTAAGGCTGGAGAAGAGAATATATATATATATTATTTAAGAAGCTGTGCTTCTTCAAGTTTTATGGCATGCTTTTAAAAAATTAATACTACCTAGAAGGAAAGCCCATGTACTAACATAACTCTATGGTAATAGATAGCTTTGGATTTCTATAGGTTTAGTAACCCACCATACCTCCTTAATAGCTGATTCACACACAGTGCCTGGGCCGATCTCCGTGTTCAGGTACAGTAAGGCATACAAATAACCTGCCCGTCCAAAAAGTAGCTCATCAGGAAGCTCTGACTCTTGGCAGACAGCGGTTCTGTGCAGCTGCAAAAGTCTAACCAACAAGAACAAATCGTTTTGCCACAAATGTCTAAAATACCTCTTCCTAAAACAGTAAGTAACCCTGTCACTTTAGAAATTACTTGTTACTTATTTTTAAATTTAAAACTGATTTTTTTAATGACAACAGCAAAACCCAGAAAACAATGAAAATTTGTCCACTTTACTAATTCATCTTTCAGATGTCAAAATTAATAACAAAGTATCTGGGTTGTAGATGTGCATAGCATGTGGGAGATCCTGAGTCCAATCCTCAACACTGTTTAAAATAGTACAAAAAATCTGCTCAAAATTTCTACCTTTATATTACTCCAAAACATGTAATAGAATAGATTTCACATTTTGAAATCCAGCATGAGAAGAAAGTAATTTAAAATTGAAACAAAAATGGATCTGAAATGTAGGCAATGCTTAGGAATGAGCTTGAGCCATTCTACTTCCCACCAAACATGAACTGACCAGCTTCTGCCAACACTCTAGGAGTGAACCCTGCTTTCTGCTTCCTCAAGACTACAAACTAATGGGTACAATAAAAGTTTATATTTCCTAACTCTTCCCTCAATAATGTAAGCAATGAGTTAAAGGTTGAATTTAGGATTAATTATTCTCAGGATCAAAGGCATGTGAGCTGATTTTCATATACTGAAGGCAACCAAAAAATTGTTTAGGAAAGATGATTAACGTTCTCCCAAGATTAAGGAACTGAGGCTCATGCGTGGATAGAAAAAGATAGCATATAACCCTATACTGCTCAGGATTAACACACAAATCACTTCACTTCTAGAAGAGAACTGTTTGCAATAGAAGACTAATTAAAAATAATTTAATGTTTGAATATCTTTGTACAGCAAGAGCTTCAACTAAGAATTTATTGACATTTCTAATCTTAAAATCTTACCTTGTGATGCATTCCCGGGACTCGCTATCACTTTTGAGTTTATGATAGATCACAGCTCCCACAGCAAGAGGCCCAGCATCACCACAGAGGAAAGTGATTCTGCGACCATTCAGATTTCGAAGTGTCCTCTTTACATAATCCAGAGATCTGAGCAGATAAGCCTGATCACAAGTGACCCGGTACAGCTGCAGGTACAAAAGGGCTATGCCTGGAATGATTTGCCCACCCCAAAAGAAAATGTCATTACCTTTTCTTTTTACCTTCAGGATGTTACTTTGTACTTTCTTCTATATAAACTATTTATTTCTAAAGGAGCAACATCAAAAAATTATATATTCTATAGTTCTTAAAAATAAAAAGCTCCAAAGACACAGAAATCAGCCTAGAAAAATATATAAAATGAGTTGAAACCTATTACATTGTATTTGGCCTGGCATTGTGAATGAATGCCTCTTACTATTAGATGAGAAAACATACCAAAGTCCTACTCATTCTAGTTAATTTTCATTCATTTCAAGACTATATTTGGTCTCCTTTGTATTTTAAGCTAACTTGGATCCTTTCATTTTTAGTTCTCATAAAATAAATCATTTCCTCCTGTATTATCTCAAATTAAGTGATTGCTTCTCTGGATTTTATACCTTCTTTCTCAATTTTCTAATTTTTCAGTTTTCTTTAGTGACATCAGATTGACCAACTAACCAGTGAGGCAAACAACCACTTCCAGAACACCCACATGATGCTGAGGGAGGTAACCAGTACAGTGAGTATAGTCTATCACCTATCCAACCTTCTATTTTAGATTAAATAATAGAACCAAATCTTCAAATGAACCATAGAGGGATCTCTGAAAATTCTTGGAGGATGACCTATATGGCTTCTTAAAGAAGAAGTCTATTTCTTCAATTCAGAAGTCAACATTGGGTGGGGAGGATGCAAGAAGGGTACTTGGATTTGATCAGTGCATACTATATGTATGTATGGAAATATCACACTGGATCCCATTAATATGTACAATTAATATGTGTTAACAAAAGAAAAACAGCATAACAGTTAAGCAAAAAAAAAAATCAGTATAAATAATATATACTTAATAAATATATTGTAAGAAAAAAGATTAAAAGAAATATGATGGTAAGACATGGTTTCTCACGTCTTCTAATAAATCCTTAACACCTTTTAAATTTATTTTTGGAAAGTCCTTTTATCATTACCCATTTCTTTAAAGATGACTACTCAAACAGATCTAAAGCAGCATATTTAGGAGATGAACTGTTTGCCATCTCAAGTCTGTTTCTGTATTCAAAAATGTAACTTTATGTAAACCTAGAGAAAACCCAGAGTTAAAAGCTAAAGACCTATGATTCTGAAACATAGTAATAACAAAAGGCTTACAAATAAGCACTCCTTGACTGGGAAACCTCTAAAAACAGGATGTTGACTGGTTAACCTGAGAACCTAAAAAGCCTATCGTTATGTTTAATGCCTAGGTATTTTACAGTAAGAGGACGAGTAAAAATAAAAAGGTCATCGTGTTTTGAAAGGTTTTGTTGAAAAGCAGATGGGGAAAATGAACTGTGGTAAACAGGCTTGAGAGATATAGAAGTAAAGCATGTGGAGGGGAAGGAGCCCACAGTCCTGTGATTAGGTCCCTGTGGCCCTGAAGTGTGAACTTCACCTTCCCATGCCCCATTAGAGTCCAGGATATCCAGAGGAGGATTCTCCTGGGAGCAGGCTTTTTAAGGACAGAATGCTCACAGATTTCAAAATGGTTCCTCTTCCCCTCCTTCTGCAGGAGGGACAGGGAATTTTTCTCTAATAGTCAGTTTGAGGACTGGTAGAGCTCCTAGAGATTTTGAACTACCCAAGTTAGCATAATGAGGAAGTCCTCTGCTTTTACACTTAAAAAACAGTAACCTGAAGTAACTTGATGTTAACCAGTTTCTTCCTATTGTTCTGTTTCCCTGTTCCCACCTTAAAAAACTCATTGGTCTGCTATTTACATGTGGGAACTGTCAAGTGGTTCTGTAGAAGGGAGCTACCCTGATTCATGAATCACAAACAAAAGCAATTATTATCTACCATTAAATTTGTTCTAATTTAGTCATTTGACACTATTCTAGCATTGGTTCCTGTTGGTTGTAATTCTCTCCATCCACTTATCTCTCTAAATTTTGGTAAAGCAATTTGCCCTATGACCTCACTTCTCTGAAGGATTTAAGAAGAGTTGTTGATTTTTCAGTTTGTTCAACTTTTTACTTGTTACGATGCAGTGGTGACTTCTAAACTCCTTAATGCCTAAGTGGAACTGGGAAGTTTTTCTTTTTTAACTTATTTGTTTTTTTTCTTTGCTTTTTTTTTATTTTTAGTGGTTTGATTTATTGATTTATTGATTTACATATTTAGCAAACAAATGTTGAAACTTTTCTAGACCATGAGGACACTTTGCTTTTAGTGTGCTGGTATACTTCCTGTAATGTCAGCTCCATGTCACTTCAGCTCCTGTGCCTTAAGTTTTCATTTCAGAAATGCTTTTGTCTTTTCTTTTGATTTCCTTTTTTCAGTTCTGCCAAGTCATGCTTCACATGCTCTTATTGTATCTCTTCTCTAAGTCCCTTTATTTTTGCTTTGTGAACTTACTGATCAAGTTTTGCTTCACATTGTAGTGATACTTTCTAATGAGTTTCCTTTTAGTTTTTGAGATAGGGTCTTGCTATGTAACTCTCAACTTATGCTCCTAACCCAGCCTCCCAGAGTTCTTGGGTTACTGGGGTGCATCACCATATCTGGCTTCCAGTGTATTTTCTTTTTGTGCTGAGAAATTTTTATTTTCCTTTTTATTCATATATTTATAGACATAATAGTTATATTTTTTTCTTAAGTGTGAATATGTTAAATTTTTCTGGACCAACACTTAATAGGAAGATTCTTGAGAAGAGGAAAATGGTTAGGTTAGCATTCTCAGTTATCTCAAAGGCATCCTCTTCCTGCTAAGTTATAAACAACAGTTTTGGGGGATGGAGTTGTCATTTTGTGTTTTAATAGATGGTGACTTTTGGTGGCCAGATTTTGTTTCTCATATCCTTTCCTGTTTCAGGAGGGCGCCTATAGTTACTTTTTCTTCTTGCTTTACCACTTCTGCCTTGGAGGTCAGTTCCCTGTTTAGATGTAGTGCCTTTTTGAAGACCTATATTCTTCTCTGTACACTTCCCATGCCTTTTTTCTCTGCCTCTCCCAGCATTACCTGCCCACTTTACACTCAGATGGCCCCACAAAAGTTCCTACTAAGGATGTGACCAACTCCTTCTGGGAATAACTCCTCGCTGATTATTGGGGATAGGTAAGGGGCAGAATAGATTTTGCCACTCTTGGACCTTTTGCCTTTTCTTATCTGCTGCATCACTGTGGTTTTCCACACTTATTTTACATGGTGTTTGCTTTTCACTTGTTATTTGTATGTTTTCTCTGTCTCATAGCTTTACTAAAGGGATAAATTGTGGGTACTGCATTTATTGTTCTTAACCTGTATGTTTTAGGAGAAAAGATAGAAAGGTATGGGTCTAAGCAAATTCCCTATTTCTACCAGAATTCCAAAGCCCTATCATTTTAAACCACTGAAACCAGATCCTCCATGATGGTTCTGTCAGTGATTTAAGATGACAAGAATGAGGATTTTTTTTTTTTTTGGCGGTACTGAGGTTTGAACTCAGACCCTTTGCTTGCTAGGCTGGTTCTACCACTTGAGCCACTCCACCAACCCTGGTTTGTGTTGGGTATTTTTGAGGCAGGATTTGCAGACTGTTTGCTGGGCTGGCTTCAAACCTCTATCCTCCTGATCTCTGTCTTCCAAGTAACTAAGGTTATAGGTATGAGCCCCCAACACCCAGATGAGATGAGGATTTTTCAGAAATATTGATTCCTGATATCCAGCCCCAGAGTTTCTAATGTCACTGTTCTCTTAGTTTATTATGAAGTACTCTCGATGATTCTGATGCAGTCAGTTTGGGACCTAACAATCCGAGGATTAAAAACCCTTTTTCAACAAGAGGAAATGCTGTAAGTAAAAGACTTTTTAGAGAAAATTTTTTCCTTCCAAAAATATTCTTTGTATTTTATTTCAGGTAAACTATAAATATCTAACTTTACTTTTTGGATAAATTCATTTGTAAAATGAGTCCATGTATGTCTGGGTTTATAAGTCTGAAATAATTCTAATATTACTATGTAATTCATAAAAGGAAAATGATAAATGAAACAACACTGAAATGAATAGAAACAGAAATAGAAATTTAAGGTTATCAGGGCCCTTGTGTTAAATTATGCATTGCAAAATCAGGTATCAGTTCATGATGGTGCTAATCTGTATACCTGCCTGTGTCTATGCTATTCATTAATTAAACTATAAAAATTTAGCAAGAAAATATTACAAGTTAGTATATAAATTGGCATTAGCAATTTAATCAGATTTTAGTATAATCCCTGAGAACAGAGATTAGTCTTACTTCCTTTATATACTTCAAATAGTTATTACAATGTTCTGCCTACTTGGTAGAACAGTAAAATTATAAAAACTGGGTAAGGTACATTAATTTTGCAATTACATTTTTGATGTGAAGAATATTACTAGTTTCTCATTTAACTGTTATCACAAAAATTAAAACAAAAACCTTTATGTGTATAAATGAGTCAAACTGAACACAAGCACAGCTTGTGAAACAGAACAGAGAAATTTAGTCAAACTTGTCACAAAGACTAAAGCAACAACAAAAAATCCCCAAACTAACCAACAGACAAACCCTAACTCTAAGGTAAGCTTTCTCTTATTACACATTTTCATAGCTACATATTAGGTTAAATAAATGTTATAAAAATATGATGTACTACATACATCAAAGGTCAAATCTTGCCAGGTACCAGTGGCTCACTCTTATGTTCTTAGCTACTCAGGAGGCAGAGATCAGGAGGATCACAGTTTGAAGCCATCCCGGGCTAATAGTTGACAAGACCCTGTCTCTAAAAAACCATTCCCACACAAGAATAAAAAGGGCTGGTGGAGTGGATCAAGGTGAAGGTCCTGAGTTCAAGCCCCAGAATCACAAAAAAAGGTCAAATTTTCACCAGAAAGCATTTCTTTTGAGATAAAAATTCAAAGCATCTCACCAATGAAGATATAGTCCAGACTACATTTCAAGGGTATAATTCTTTGCCATTTTAAAAGAAAAGAAAATTTCAAAGCCAAGTATCACATCTCATAACCCAAATCAGTTACTCATATCCCACATTCTCACCTGTCCAGCCAGTATAAGCAGAGCAATCATGAGGGTCAGCTGTCTTCAACCCTTCTTCCATTTGCTGTAGAAGATCTTTGATTTTGGTCTGGATCCGCCTTATGAAGTTATGAATAATCTTAAAACCAAAAGATAAGATTACATTGTACAAGCCTGGGACTATGTTGCAGTAGCAGTCAAGGTGCATGAACATATTAGAGAGAAGTTATTTTACTTGGCCATTCTTAATACCTCATTAACTAGAGTCTATCCTTTTACAGGACTAATATTTTAATGAGATAATGTACTTAGGTATTATAACTCGTAAGTGAATCACAAAAAAACAATTTGTAGAAACCAAAGAGGGAAAAAAAGGAAAAAATAAAATGGATTGACTACACAAACATTTAAAATGTCTATAAGGTAAAAAACATTAAAATGGTTTAAAAATTAATGGCAAAGAGGAAATATTTTCAATACTAAATAGAAATAAAATGAATAAATGGAAGCATATGCAAAAATGTTTGATCACTTGGTGATTAATGAAATGCAAATAAAAACAAGTACTATAGTTTATCTATCAAGGAAATTGTAACAAAGAAATTTTTAAAAATATTAAATCCCAAAGCTGTGAACAGCAAAGGAAAAGGCATTCTTATTCACTGCCGGCAGTCTTTCTCAAGAGAAATACAAAATGTTCTTACACTTGATAGTGATAGTGTCTTTTCCACCTTTGATGGTTTTTAAAGTATATTATTTGCCATATGAATTGCTGAGGGGGTCTTAAAATCTATTATGATTATGAAATTGCTTATTTCTCCCTTTAATTTGGTTTTTACTTCTTCCTTTGTGCATGCTAAAGCTGTTATTAAACATATAAAAATTTATGACATTTTCCTGATGAACTGACTCACTATCAGAATGAAATGTGCCTCTATGAGATTATAGACAAAATGCCTTTATGTTTCTGCATAATTAAGGCTTTCAGGGAAAATTATACTCAAATTTGGGATTCTGGACTTCAACATTAATTAATTCTTAAACTGTAAGAATTAATTTACAACTGCATATATAACAAGAATTCCAGAGAGGTTTGCCCTGGAGTGATGAAAACAGACAATTCTAACTTGGTAAAACTACAGACATTGGGCTTGTCTCTTGTACACAGGGATTAGTGTACATTCCAAAGGGTGAGAGTAGAATGTTTCAATAAGACTCTCAGAAAGGGAAGGGGAGATAATTTCCTTTTTCTCCTTTAAAAGCACAAAAATCTTATTTTTCAGCATTCCTATCTACAATACAGACTTTGAGTATGTAGAATAGCTGACCCTGCCTTTACTGTGTCATCTTACAGGTAATAACAAGGACACTGGGAACCACTTGGTATTTGCTGATAGGTACATAACAAGAAATTGATCCACAAGCTTTTCACCATATATCCAGGATAATATTAATTGAAGATACATATTAAAAACTTAATATTTTCTTTATCTCATCATAAATCTATCTTATATGATATTAATACAGTCACATCAGCTTTCTGATTGGTGCTTGCTTTGCCATCCATTTACTGTCGACCTCTCTGTCTTTATAGTTAAAGTGCACAACGGGCTGTAGTGGCCCACGCTATCATTCCAGAAGTCAAGGAGGATCTAGTGTTCCAAGGTAGCCTGGGTTACCTATGAGTTTGAGGCTACCTTGGACTCCACAGTGAGACGTGCTTCAAATCACCCCCTCCAAAAGTGCATCTCCTGGAAAGCAAATAGTTGGGTCTTTTCTGTTTGCACTGTAGGGGAGGGAGAGATCACCTCACCTGACCATTAGTTTTTATGTGGACTCTTTGAATGGATCTAGGAACTGAATTATTACAAGAGCTGATTAATAAGAGAAAAAACAAATTTCATTAATTTTTTACATACATGGGGATTTTCAAAAGAGAGTTAAGTTCAAAGAAAATGATGAAATCTACATGATTTTATTATTTTTAGACAAAGACTAAAACATTTGTGAAGGCATAAAAAGAGCCAATAGATCTCTGAACTAGGATAGTGAATTCTAGGGATGTTGTTAAACAATATAAGGAAGAAAATAGTACGTATTCAAGTTCATTACCAATTACCAGTCTATAGTAGTCCAGGCTATTTTTCTGCCCTGGTGCTAAAAACACCTCTCCTAAAAGAATCTCTGGCTGGCTGTGTGTAGGAAAGGACAAGCCAAATGGCCCTTTCTGAACTTACCAGTTCCTCAAATGATTTCAGCTTGAAATAATCAATATACCAAGTGGACAGAACTGTCTTTAACTCCTTGTTTGATGTTTATGTTAATTCACTCTGATGATGTCCTTGAGAGTATGTAGCCATTGATTTGGATTGGAGTAACCATTTTATTGCTTTCCGTATGTCATTGCCTGTTCCTCTTTTATCCCTTTCTTGCCTCTCCTCCCACTTTATGGATTATTTGAATATATTTTAGAGTGGAATTTTAATTTTCCTGCTGAGCTTTTAGATATATTTCTTTATATTATTTTTAGTGATTGCTCTAGAAGATACAATGAACATCCATAAGTTTTCACAACTCACTTGCAGTTAGTAATACACCACTTCATGTAAAATGCAGACACTGAACATAAATGTTTGTGTCCTATGCCCATCCTTTCTGTCATAGCTGTTATATATTAAGGACAACATAAAAATGAATCCTACAGCGAATGATAACATTTCGCTCTTCTTCATGGCTGCATAAAATTCCATTATGTATAGATACCACATTTTCTTAATCCACTCGTCAGTGGTGGGGCATCTTGGCTGTTTCCATAACTTGGCTATTGTAAATAGTGCCACAATACACATGGGTGTGCAGGTGCCTCTGGAGTAACCTGTGTCACAGTCTTTTGGGTATATCCCCAAGAGTGGTATTGCTAGGATCAAATGGTAGATCAATGTCTAGCTTTTTAAGTAGCCTCCAAATTATTTTCCAGAGTGGTTGTACTAGTCTACATTCCCACCAACAGCGTAAGAGGGTTCCTTTTTCCCCACATCCTCGCCAACACCTGTTGTTGGTGGTGTTGCTGATGATGGCTATTCTAACAGGGGTGAGGTGGAATCTTAGCGTGGTTTTAATTTGTAGTTCCTTTATTGCTAGAGATGGTGAGCATTTTTTCATGTGTTTTTTGGCCATTTGAATTTCTTCTTTTGAGAAAGTTCTGTTTAGTTCACTTGCCCATTTGTTTATTGGTTCATTAGTTTTGGGAGAATTTAGTTTTTTAAGTTCCCTATATATTCTGGTTATCAGTCCTTTGTCTGATGTATAGTTGGCAAATATTTTCTCCCACTCTGTGGGTGTTCTCTTCAGTTTAGAGACCAAAAGACCAAAACTCGTATGTTCTCCCTCATATGTGGACATTAGATCAAGGGCAAACACAACAATGGGATTGGACTTTGAGCACATGATAAAAGCGAGAGCACACAAGGGAGGAATGAGGATAGGTAAGACACCTAAAAAACTAGCTAGCATTTGTTGCCCTTAACGCAGAGAAACTAAAGCAGATACCTTAAAAGCAACTGAGGCCAATAGGAAAAGGGGACCAGGAACTAGAGAAAAGGTTAGATCAAAAAGAATTTACCTAGAAGGTAACACACGTGCACAGGAAATCAATGTGAGTCAATGTCCTGTATAGCTATCCTTATCTCAACCAGCAAAAACCCTTGTTCCTTCCTATTATAGCTTATACTCTCTCTACAACAAAATTAGAAATAAGGGCAAAATAGTTTCTGCTGGTTATTGAGGGGGTGGGGGGTAGAGGGAGGGGGCGGAGTGGGTGGTAAGGGAGGGGGTGGGGGCAGGGGGGAGAAATGACCCAAGCCTTGTATGCACATATGAGTAATAAAAGAAAAAAATGAATCCTACAAGATAATGCTGTTAACTTTTGCTTAAAACAATTACTTCTGTAAACACATTAAAAGGCATAAAAAGCAGAGTGGAAAAGCTGATTTGTATATGTACTCACATTATCTACCAAGTTCAGAGCTCTTTGTCCTACTCCTGAGATGTGAGGAGCTTCCATCAGGTGGCATTTCTCATATTACTGATCTGCTGTGAAAAACTCCCAGTATGTTTTTTATAAATCTGAAAATCTTTACCTTGCCTTAATTCCTGAAGGACAGTCTCAATGAATAAAGAATTCTGAATGATGGCTTCATTCCGGGGGTTTGTCTCACGAAGAACTCCCAAAGGAGAAACAGAAAATTATTTTTCTCCCCTATGTTATTTTCTTGGTTCTTCATATATCATGTAATTGTGTATTATGCCTAGAATATTAATTTGTAGTCTGTGATCCTCCTTGTATTGAATTGCAAATTCTGTTTTAGCAGCAGCTCTGGTCTCAGTTCAGATCTTTGGTCTTTTCCTGAACTTCTCTGAGTCTATTTCAGGCATATGAAGTTCAAATTTTAGTTAGGTACACATTTCTGCATAATGTGGGATCTCTTCTCTTGCTCATCTTCTTCCACACTGTCATTGGCATTCGCTAACTGACTTTCATGAAATATTTCTCTGTAGCATGTAATGCTGTATGACAGCACTTTTCCCACAGAACTTCTTTCATAACTGGAGTCAATCCTCTTAAGCCCTGTTGTTGCTTTTTCAACTAAGTTTATACACCATTCTATTTTATTTTTTATTTTTTGTAGTACTGGAGATTGAACACAGGGCTACCCCACTTTTTAGGCAAGGGCTCTACCACTTAGCTACACTCCCAGTCCCAGATATTCTAAATCTTCTAAATCTTCCGTCATCATCAGCAATGTTCATAATACCTTTACTAAGAGTAGATTCCATCTCAAGAAACCACCCTTTTCTTCATCCATAAGAAGCAGCACCTTATCTATTCAAGTTTTATCATGAGATTGGAGCAATTCAGGACATCCTCAAGCTCCACTTCTAATTACAGTTCTCTTGCAATTTCAGTCACATCTGAAGTTACTTCCTCTACTGAAGTCTTGAACACCTCAAACTTGACCATAAAAGTTCAAGTCAGCTTCCTTCAAACTTCGGTTAAGGTTGACATTTTGACCTCACATGAATCAGTAATGTTCTTGTCGGTATTTAGAATAAAAAATCCTCTCTCCTAAAAGTTTTCAA